CACCCCAAACAAAGGACACTGGAATCCAAGACCCAAACCTCCGTCCAGCGGGCTCCCAGGGACCCTGAGCGGGGCTCACGGAGCACCGCGACCTCTTCCTTCATCCCAGATGTCATTACTGAACGGGTAGCTGAGTTACGGAGGGAGGCCTCGCTCCTTCGGTCTAAACCGGTGGAGTTTTTCTCCAAGTGAGAAAAGCTGAAAGAACAGGTGAGGTTTCGCTTTCAATCCCCACAGCAGCCTCCCGCAGAACGTGTGGGCGCACCGGGCACTCGTTATAAACTCAGAGCCGGGGTCCTCTGGGCAGAAGGTTCCCGAAAGTCTCTAGACACAAGCCTGGAACCCACACCTGAACCAGCCCCCGGGGAGTTCTTGGGGACACCACGCCCCGGGAACTGCCATCCCAGTGACCAGCACGGAAGGGCCCGCCCACAGTCCTGAGAACATTCAATCACACCATCCCCACGACCTTCCCGGAGACGGGGCCTTCACAGTCTCAAGGTCAAACGCTGGCACCTGCCCTACTTACCTAGATTACCATTTCCTTCCCCAGCGTCTTCTCCCACAAGCCCTCAAAACACGGCCGTGCCATCGCTGTCAAAATGAGCTTTCAACAAGAGGGGCCTGGGTGAACCTGGCTTTGTCCTGCAGCTGTGATCTCACTAGGCAAGGAGATCGGCGTCAAAACAAAGAGGTCACTGAATACAGCAGCCTGACTAACAGAAAATCCCCCACCCGGGAATAAGAACAGTCCCACTCCGCCTCGATCAGAGTCCGCACAACGGAGGAGACGGCTCTGGCCGGAAGCTGTGCCCAGCATGCATCTGGCTTATAGTTTCTTGCCATATATATATATTTTATTGATTTCAGAGAGGAAGGGAGAGGGAGAGAGAGAGAGAGAGAGAGAGAGAGAGAGAGAGACAGAAACATCAATGATGAGAATCGCTGATCGGCTGCCTCCTACTGGGGATCGAGCCCACAACTCGGGCATGTGCCCTTGACCGGAATCGAACCCGGGACCCTTCAGTCCACAGGCTGACGCTCTATCCACTGAGCCAAACCAGCGAGGGCTATTGTGCTTTTTCACTGAACAATATTTCTTGGATGTGTTTCCTTGTCATTGCATATGGTCCATCACCTCCCTATTTATCTGTCGTCTATCTACCTGTCTGTTTGTCTATCTATCTATCTATCTATCTATCTATGTAATCTGCCAATGCTTTGGGTGTTTAACTTAAATTGATATGGTTTCACTGGGAAACTGTAAAATGTCAACAATCACACCTTTTTGGTGATGAAGGTTATGAGAGATAAAAATTTAAAATAAAACAAAGGGCGTCAAACGCTATCTGAGGAGCACAGAAGGTTCTTGCGGCTGAAATGTCTTCAGATGATCCTGCTACGCCAGTGACTGTCAACCCATTTCCTTCCATGGCCCACATAAACCGATCACTAAAATTCTGTGGCATACCAAAACCTGTATTATTTTTTCCCCGATCTGATGAAAAATAAAAAAGATCTAATTTTGATTCATTCATGGGCTGAAGCTTTCTGTGTCCCCTCAGTGTGTGTGAGATCCCACACGTGTCAGATGCCAAAGCTCTCTGTGCCTCAGGGCTGCTGCTGGGTGTCTTGGTGAATTCTCCATGCCAGTTATAGACATGTTCATAACACATGTCAGCCCCACACCGATGTCCTGGTGTGTTTCTACATGCCAGTTATAGACATGTTCATAACACGCCTCAGCCCCACATGCCCTCACCCCCGCGGCTTCCCGGCAAGCAGTTGGTCTCTGGAACAGCTCGTTCCCTGAGCGGCTTTTTTACAGGGCTGCCTTGTCCGCTGCCTAACGCGAAGCTCTTGGTGTTTTCGCTGGGATCCCATTAAGTTCAGAAATGCACGTGGGGAGGCTGACACTTTGATGTTGTTGAGTCTGAGCAGAGTTGAATGTTCTCTTCACAGCGGCCCTATAAAACCCTGTTGTTTATGACGAGGGACTTAACGGGGTTTGGGTTGAGCTTGTAAACGGGCTCTTTTCTTTCATAGAATTTCTATGTGGCTGTTACTCCCGCCGCCCACGTGGGACTCCTGTGAGCCGGGGGCGTGGCTCCCTCCCTCCTCTCTAAGGAAGATCTACGTAGCCTCACCAGCCCCCCAAAACGGATTCTGCAAAATGCAAATGTCCTCATATCCCTCAGGCCACCCTCAGCGTCATTCTCTCTGCTCCCCACCGGGGAGCAAACGTCTTTACCAGGAAACAAGGGCATTGTCTGAGCTTAAACACACCAGCGCTCACCCAACTTTCACAAAAATTCACCAAACCGGACGCTCAAAATGAACCATTTGAAAGACCAACACCCCAACACTAATTCATAATGAAATATTAACCAGCCTGTCCCCCTTCTTTGGTGGGTACTTAACGCCCTTCTTTCTTTTTAAAAAATATATTTGTATTGATTTCAGAGAGGAATGGAGAGGGAGAGAGAAACATCAATGATGAGAGATTCGACAGGCTGCCTCCTGCACGCCCGCTACCGGGGATGGAGCCCGCAACCCGGGCATGTGCCCCGACCGAGAATCGAGCCGTGACCTCCTGGTTCACACACCTCAATGTTCAACCACTGAGCCATAACGGCCCGGCTTAAAGCCTTTCTTTGAAAAAATTCCCATCCTTCCCCCCAAACCCAAGAGAAACAAGCAGCAAATAATGCCACGAAATGGTTCCGACGATACGTTCCTGCGGCAAGGGAGCTGTAGCTCCCAGGGCTTTTAATTTATTTTCTTATGAATTAATAATGCATGTGTGATTGAGAGGAACTCATTAAACGCGAGCGCCATAAAGCCAGGCACTCAGACAGGAAGCGCGAGGAAGGTTCCCGACGTGCTCCTGAGCGGGGATGCTGAGTACACAAATCATTTTGTTTTTGCTCCGCTTAACGCAGACAACAGCCAACGAGGGAAATGCAATTACGATCATTCTACTTAGAAAAGGCCCAAGAATGGGATGTGCACAGACGTCACAAAAGGCGGCTGCTTCTGGCCCATCTGACCTTTGCCTTCTGTGACCAACTCAACTCGAAGGGATGGGGTGTGGCCACCCCACCAACGTGCCCTTTCCATGCCTGAGAGTGGTTACAGGGGACCCACGAATAGCTGGGTGTCTCTTGGGGTAACGGTGAACCTCCAGTGTCAAAACACCTCCGGAAAATTTCCACAGGTACCCCT